CTGCGGGGTGGGGCGCATGACGCTTCTCACGCACGCTAACGTTCATTGGCTCGTTCTATAGACACTCGAAGTTGATAGGGCTCTCTGAAGTGATCCCAATTACGTCATCACGTCGACGTTATGTCTCCCGTTCCCTCCTTCAGGGAACGAGGGTTACATTAGTAACCGAGACGTTATATTGCAGATAGCTATACAAAAAGTATATGTAAAATGTTGTTTAGTTCTTCTCAGTATCAGTAGGAGGAATAGACAGAGATCAGAGTCTCCAAAACCCAGTCTGTGAAGAGTAACAGATCCATGATGCAACCCCATACATTCAGGGATGAAAGAATGACCCTTGAGCCCTTGTTAACCCTTTAAGCGCCAAAGTCGCAAAAATGCGACAAGACGTCATACTTAATAAAACAGGCTGTAGATCCTAATATGGTGTAATATCTAATTTGTATTCCCTACCACTAGATGGCAGACATGTAATACTCCGATTCAAGATCAAAATGACGTCATGTTCCTATTCAAAGTGTTGGAGGAAACAGCAGAGCAAGTGAGCGATCGTGTCATTGATGCGGAAGCAGTTCAGTTCAGAGCGTCTGAGTAAATTGTGATATTTGTGAGAGAAAATCGTCAAATGGCTAATAAAAACTTGTACCGTGAGGATGTGTTGCAAATGTTATTCGCCGATTCTGACTCTGAAGGGGAATATTTGCCTTTTGTAAATGACGATCGGCCGTCTAATGATTGCGCTTCTCCCGGTACATCTTTGCCGTGCAATGGTGCCGCCCGCGCCTCTCCCGGTACATCTTTGCCGTGCAATGGTGCCGCCCGCGCCTCTCCCGGTACATCTTTGACGCGCAATGGTGCCGCGCGCGCGCTTCTCTCGGTACATCTTTGACGCCCAACGGGGATGGGGGTGGCAGGGGTGGACGTGGTCTTTTCCTGAATATTACTGATGAACTGATAAAAAATTAGGCTACTGTTCACATGTGTTTTACTACTAAAGTATTGTAATATAGTAATAATTTAGTAGCCTACTTTCTCCTATTTTATTGTTGGTTTCCTCTTTTCCGATCATTTGGAATGAGGATTAAAAAAAAAGAAAAAAAAGCATGTAAATAAATTCCAACATCAATTCAATATCTACTATTTCCTGAATATTACTGATGAACTGATTAAAAAGTAGGCTACTGTTCACATGCGTTTTACTACTATATAGTATAGTAATAATTTAGTAGGCTACTTCCTCCTGTTATTGTTGGTTTCCTCTTTTCTCATCATTTGGAATGAGGATAAAAAAACAAGAAACAAAAAAAAAACATGCAAATAAGTTCAAACATCAGTTCAATATCTACTATTTCCTAAATATTATGAAATTCAAGAGGGCCGCCCCCTGATGACGTCATAATATGCAAATTAGATGAGTATATTTACACCCCACATAAACTTTCAGTCATCCCCAACATTTTTCTAATTTACTAGTAGATTTCTATCTTTAAGCCCTTTCAAGCCACAAGCTTTTGAAATTTTGATGTCAAAATCCAGCATTTAAAAAAAAAAAAAACTTGGCGCCTAAAGAGTTAATTTACTGTAGTGCAGTGTCAGATGAATAATTATTTAAGAAACTCAATGAAACAAGGGGGTGTCAAAGTCATATCCAGTAACCAATTTATTTCTGATGGTCTCCAACAGTCATTGTAATCGCTGTGTCCGTGCTCTTTTATTTTTAATTTTTCTTTTCAGCAGGAGGGAGATTCATGAGCTGATCAGGTCTGTGCCGTCCTCTACATCCCACTATCAGACCCATATCAGGCAGGACAAATCTGAAGCAGTCCTACAGACACACACACTGGAGACTGGAGACCTGCAGAGAGTCAAAGACCAGCACAAAACCAGCATGAAGAACAAGTACAAGAGATTATTTGAGGGAATCAAACTCCAAGAGAATGAAACTGTCCTGAACAGGATCTACACACAGCTCTACATCATAGAGGGAGAGAGAGAAGGAGTGAATGAAGAACATGAGGTTTTACAGATGGAGAAAACAGCCAGAACACAACACTCACAAGACACTCCAATCTACTGCAATGACATCTTTAAAGCTTCACCTGAACCAGGACACCAGGAGGAAGAGCAAATCAAGACTGTTCTTACTAAAGGCATCGCTGGAATTGGAAAATCCGTCTCTGTGCAGAAGTTCATTCTGGACTGGGCCGAGGGAAAAGCCAATCAGGATGTAGATTTCATGTTTGTTCTTCCATTTCGAGAGCTGAACTTGATCCAAAATCATCAGTACAGTCTTCATAGACTTCTTGTAGACTTTCATCCTGAACTTCACAATCTGGACTCAAAGATGTATGAGGAGTGTAAAGTTGTGTTGATCTTTGATGGTCTGGATGAAAGCAGAATCACACTGATGTTTTCAGACGCTCAGGAAGTTTCTGATGTGACTGAGACTTCATCAGTGGGTGTGTTGATATCAAACCTCATGAAAGGAGATCTGCTTCCCTCGGCTCTCATCTGGATCACCTCCAGACCAGCAGCAGCCAATCAGATCCCCTCCAAATACATCAACCGTCTGACAGAGATTCAGGGGTTCAATGATCCTCAGAAGGAGGAATATTTCAGGAAGAGAATCAGTGACGAGCATCAAGCCAGCAGAATCATCTCTCACATCAGAAGAGCAAGAAGCCTCCACATCATGTGCCACATACCCGTCTTCTGCTGGATCTCCTCCACTGTGCTTCAGAAGCTCCTGGAAGAAGATCTGAGTGCAGAAATCCCTCAAACTCTGACTGAAATGTACATCCACTTCCTACTGATTCAGATCAACACAAAGAATCAGAAGTATGAAGAGAGAGATCCAGAGAAACTCCTGCAGTCCAACAGAGAAGTGATTGTGAAACTTGCTGAAGTGGCTTTCAAACAGCTGATGAAGGGCAATGTGATGTTCTATGAGGAGGACCTGATTGACAGCGGCATAGACGTCACTGACGCCTCAGTGTATTCTGGGATTTGCACTGAGATCTTTAAGGAGGAATCTGTGATTCATCAGAGGAAAGTTTACAGCTTCATTCATCTTAGTGTTCAGTAGTTTCTCGCTGCTTTCTATGTGTTTTACTGCCACATAAGCAGCAACACAGAAGCATGTTTTGATTCACTGCATAAACTTCATAAAAGAGTAGTTGATGAAGCCATTATGACCAAGAATGGTCAGTTGGATCTGTTACTGCGGTTCCTCCTGGGTGTCTCACTGGAGTCCAATCAAAGACTCTCACAGGATCTACTGACACACACAGAGAACAGCTCAGGGAGCATCAGGAGAACCGCACAGTACATTAAAGAGAAGATCAATGATGGACATGGACTCTCCACTGAAAGATCCATCAATCTGTTCCTCTGTCTGCTGGAAGTGAAAGATCAGACTCTGTCCAGAGAGATTCAGGAGTTTGTGAAATCAGACAAACACTCAGAAAAGAAACTCTCTCCTGCTCACTGCTCAACAATCTCCTACATGCTTCAGATGTCAGAGGAGGTGCTGGATGAGCTGGACCTCAAGAAATACAACACATCAGATGAGGGTAGAAGAAGACTGATACCAGCTGTGAGCAACTGCAGGAAAGCTCTGTGAGTTAATTACTTTTATTAAAGTTAAGAACTGTTTCTGCAGTGTGAAATTATCCTCTCTGAAAGGAAATTATAAGTTGTGACATTTGCAAGATTTAAATTGACATTGAATTTTGCAGAGAAAATAGCCTGTTTAATAGTTTATTAACTGAAAATTGTGTTTTGCTTTGTTCCAGTTTTGCTGGCTGTAATCTCACTTCCCAGCATTGTGAAATTGTGTCATCAGCTCTAAATTCCTCAAACTCTGTCCTGAGAGAGCTGGATCTGAGTAACAATGACCTGCAGGATTCAGGAGTGAAGAGTGAAGAGTCCAAAGTGTCAGCTGGAGATACTGAGGTATATTATGCTGGTCATAATGCTGATTAGGTGTGTAACGATACACGTATTCATATTGAACCGTTCGGTACGAGGCTTTCGGTTCGGTTTTCGGTACGCATTTTTAAACCGAACGGTTCGTTGGACCATTTTTCCTGCCGACCAAAATGTCGTTATTTCAAATGTAGGCGCGTCGCGCGTGGCAAGCGCGCTCATAATGTAAGAGACGCTGGCGTGACCACAACCAACATCAAATGGCAAATGTAATGTAAGCGGAACGAAACTGAGCTACTCGTTATTGTGTGGTTGACGGACCGTTTATCAGTTTGGACCAATGCAGCGCGAGCCGATCTTCATCATCAGCACTGTTACTACACAGCGAAATCCAGTAAAGAAAGCATTTGAATTCGCCACTGAAGTAATACCATCGCTGCGAGATCTAGTGAGAAACATTCACATCTCTCCGTTATTAATGGATCAAACAGCGCTGACGTGGAAACCAGGAAGAAACATTGTGCCATGAATGAACTATCCAGTGTCCACAGATCAGCAATATTCACCATGGGTTTACTGTAGTAACACTACTCACTGTAACCATGGAAGTTTGGGAGGAATAGTAGGCTATAATGCTTTCAAGTAACATTACGTTACGTTTTATTTTGACATTATGTATACAATTGCTGCCCTTAAATGTTAATCTGAACTAAAATAAACCTTTGTTTATAACTACTACAATATTACATTTCATTTTGTCCAAGGAGCTGTTTTGTTTTATATGCTCCTAAGAAAAGTCAAGTATAGCTCCATCATTGCTCAAAGTAAAAAAATATCATACTTTATGATGTTAGTTTTAATAAAAATATAATTAAAAAAATTAAATCAAGGAAATTTCTCTGGTATTTCTTTCTTTTTGCTGTATCGAAAACGTACCGAACCGTGACACAAGTGTATCGTATCGAACCGAACCATGAATTTTGTGAACCGTTACACCCCTAATGCTGATTTGTGTTTGTATGTGATCTGACTGTGTATGGATGTCTGTAGATGATCTGACTTTGTGTCTGTAGGTTGTCAGGCTGTATGGTGACAGAGGAAGGCTGTGGTTTTGTGTCTTCAGCTCTGAGTTCAAACCCCTCACACCTGAGAGAGCTGGATCTGAGCTACAATCACCCAGGAGATTCAGGAATCCAGCTTCTCAACCACAAACTGAAGGATCCAAACTACAACCTTCAGATACTCAAGTATGTGGGGCAGTTTTCTTTTTTTACTCAAGATCACTAATACTGATAATCTGCTAATGCTTGGAGACAACACTTTCTCTTTAAAAAGCACCAGTTCTTATGGATTTAATCTGTTTCAGTTTTTCTGTCCTTTCATGTAATCCCAGACGGACTCAGTGATGGTGAGATCAGATCTCTGTCTGGATCACACCGTCTGTAGTTGGACTCCTTGTTCAGACAAATATGTCACTACATTTTTACAATATGTGTAAGGAATGTTTGGAAATGTAAATTGATATTTTCATACTGACTACTACTAAAGCAAATTATATGAATAACCATCTTAAATCAAATTATTTTAACCATCTAAATTTGTGCCTAAAATAAGACTTTAGCATAGTCCTAGATACATTTATCGTGCCAGTTCACAATAGCTTGAGGCTGTCTACACTGGATGCATTAAAGCAAATGTTTGAATTCAATTTGTCTTTTGTGTCGAAGTAGTGCAAGCGCTGGAGTCTGTCAGAAATAGAACCGGATATCAGTTTACTGTCTCTGAGTTGTTCTATGGCACTGCATTTAGTGTAGATATACTATCACTGATTATTATGGGTTCTACTTTTAAAGAATCAAAATGCATGTCTCGCATTAGGTGTTGACAGGGTGCAACCCACACCCTAATGGCCCATTCACCCTTATGGAACAAAAATACATTTCCATATATTTTTTATCAATATATTATATGGTGTAAATATACTGAAAAATATTTGAAATAATATATTGCATAAATAGATTGTGTTATATATTACAATATATTGAATAATACATCAGGAATTGCTACTTTTCATATATTGGAAAATATATTACAATATATATTTACACTGTAAAATGTAATTAGTTGAGTGTACTTAGAAAACGTGGAAACCGATGGGCTTACATTTTTTCAAGGATGTTTTACTCAAAGTTGTAAGTTGCTAATATAAAAACATACAAAGGAGTGTCGGGACAATGATAGACTGTGCATTTTTTTGTATTTAACAAACAAACTTAACTGAATACATTTTTTTTTTTTTAAACAACTTAACAAGTAGTTAATAGACATCACTGCAATAGATTACATCCATTTAAATAAAGCAAAATGCAGAATATCATCAGGGTTTCTTGGTCCTCTCCTGGACCGAAGCACATGTTCTACTCTTAAGCACAATGGTGACCCACAAAACTCAGACAACAGAAAACCCTTTAAATCCCAACAGATCATTAAACACTAACAGATCTCTCAAGATCTCAGCAGAGGAGGACTAAACAACAAAAACAGCATTACCAGCTTCACTCATTACTAACCAGATTGACTTTATTTCTGTCATTCGTCTACAGAATCTCAATACGTCTTATTGAGAATTAACAGAGGTTTAGATGTTGATGACTTATTGAAAAGAATATAATGTTACAGTCACCATTATGTAGATCAGTGTTTGCTTTAGTTGGTCTCTTGACTCTTGACTTTATAACATTTGTTTTTCTCTGGCTGCTGTAACTGTGTGTTTATACGACACAGTCGTTATGGAAAAAAGAGAGTCACAGATCTTATCCCAAGGTTTAGTCAGGTCAAGTCATCTTTATTTATAAATCGACAGCATCAACATTGATTCCATGTGACAATATTAGATCTAAACTATATGATTACGGCAATGAGTAGGTCCTAATACGTGTTGCCTCAGTCCAATAGAGTTCAGAATGTCTCTAAATGCCAATCCCAATGCGTCTTTTTCATTATCTACATGGATGGTAAAATCACCAATAATTAGGACTTTATCTGCAGCCAGTACTAACTCTGATAGAAAACCAGCAAATTCTTTGAAAAAGTCTGCATGGTGCCCTGGTGGCCTGTATGCAGTAGCCAACACAAATGTCAAGCAGGATTTATCACTTACGCTAGATAACGTTACAAAAAGCACCATCACTTCAAAAGAATTATATTTGAAACAAGACTTCTCAGTAATACTGAAGATATTATTATAAATTACAGCAACACCTCCCCCTTTGCCTTTCAGATGAGGCTCATGTTAATAACAAATATTTTTTTGGGGGGTGGACTCATTTAAAGTAATGTAATCGTTTGATTTTAGCCAGGTTTCTGTCAAACACGGCACATCTAGGTTATAATCTGTAATCATATCATTAACAATAAGTGCTTTTGAAGTACGTGATCAAATATTCAGCAACCCGAGCTTTATCTTTTGTTCATCTGTATTATATCTGTTTTTTATTTGTTGAACATCAATTACATTTTTACCTTTGAATGGGTTTGGAAGTTTTTTGTGTTTCCTTGTTCGGGGAACAAACACAGTCTCTATGTGATGATATCTAGGTGAAAGAGTCTCTATGTGATGGGATTTATCTGACTTCTGTGAGACAGCTAGCAGACTGCCAGTTTAGCCAGTCTGTCTGCTTCCTGACCTGGGCTCCAGCTATCACTGATCAAAAGTGTATTATACACAATACACACAATAACGTTTTGTTTATTATAAGCGCGCTGCAGTTTTGTCATTTTAAATGCTCGAGCTCTTTAAAGCATGATCCATTCTGATTAGCTGTCAGTGTTTTTAAAAAATCATTCTGAAAGTGAACTTTTAAAAAATCATTCTGAAAGTGATTCCAACCAGGGCTTAAAAACTGGAATAAAATGAAATCAGTTCACTCCGAGCAGAATCAGTATTTTAACGTTTCGGTTCATGCGTTCCTTCTTTAACATTATCGTTCTGAAGACGGTTTGATTAGAAAAACTACTGGTTAAGAATGTAATTTTTGATTTTTTTTGCCTATACTTTATAACAGAGCTTGAATTGAACTTTATACTAAGAGCTTAACTCGAGTGAATCCTCAAACTGTCGGCAAAACCTCATACAGAAGCTCAATCCGCCTCAATCGTGAATGAAGTTCTGCACGTATTTTGGAGATGTGTGTAAAGGCTAATGTTTTATGTATTTAATGTATTTAAGAAGTGGAGAAGAGTGTCTTAGTCAGGTATTTGCCATCTAATCATAGCCAATACAGCCTGTGCATAGCACCACAAAAAATTTAATTCCAGAATAGGAAAGGTTCAAACCTAACCTGTAATTTTCACTGGTATCCAAACACACCACGCTGGATATAACCTACCATGGTAAAATATCTTCGGATAAACCCCTGCGAGCTAACAGCTAATCCCTGCAGCACATTGCCTTGCAACTTACATAGGATGACTTGACAACTGAGCGTGGACATTTCACTCACATTGGATGCGTCAACGTCACATTTGCATTGGCCGTACTGTTTAAATTTATATTTGATTGACTCCCAAATAAAAGTCTTAAACAGAACGATAAAACAACGTTATTAACCGGATAATGGTATTTCAAATAAGCGTTTCTATTCAGAAGGTTTTTTTTTTGTTTATGTTCCTTTTAAAATTTCATTAGGTTCCTGTTTTTGTTTTCTTTCCTTGAACCGGTTTAGAGCCCTGATTCCAAAGATATTGTTTCTCTGCGCTGTTATCGTTATAGTTGTGGTGTGAACTCTACTATTCTTTTATTTTTCGAACTATATTTGTATTGTTATCGTTATCATCCTTAATGTGAACCGGCCATAACACTCTAGAATTAATTATACTGTATGTGGCTCTTGTTTTCCTGTTTTGCGTGTCTCATTTTGAGAATTATTCATTGATACTCACTGCTTCTGGCACAGAAGAAATGTTTAATAATCAAACATGTATCATTTGTGCTTTATATTTGTTCTAGTTTGGATCATGGAGAACATTTAAGAATCACACCAGGACTGAGAAAATGTAGGTCTTTTCTCTCTTTCACATACAGCTCTAAAGTTGTCCTTCATATACTGTAGTTCTGATCTCTCTTGTTGTGTTCAGATGCCTGTAATCTCACACTGGATCCAAACACAGCAAACATTCATCTCATCCTGTCTGAGGAGAACAGAACGGTGACACATGTTCAGGAGGAGCAGCCGTATCCTGATCATCCAGAGAGATTTAAGATCTGTGAGCAGGTTCTGGGTCGAGAGAGTCTGACTGGACGCTGCTACTGGGAGGCTGAATGGAGCGGCTGGGCTTATATAGCAGTGACGTATAAAGGAATCAGCAGAAAAGGAGGAAGTGATTCTTGGTTTGTATTCGGAGATAAATCCTGGTGTCTGTACTGCTGTAAAAACAGATACACTGTCTGGCACAAAAACAAGAACACTGACATTCCCCCCCCTTCACCCATGTCTAATAGAGTAGGAGTGTATGTGGACGTGTCGGCCGGCACTCTGTCCTTCTACAGCGTCTCTGACACACACACACTCACACACATATACACATTCAACACCACATTCACTGAACCCCTCTATGCTGGATTCAGGGTTTATGATGCCTCAGTGTCTCTGTGTCAGATTACACAACCTGCTGAGAGAAACATTTCAGACATCAAAAACAAACAGTCTATTTTTTAAACAGTCACAAACTTTAATTTTCCTATTTCTTAAATAAAACAACTTATACACAAAAACTTCATGAAATCAAAATTTTTTTTTGCTTTAAGTCTATTAGCTTTGAGGTTGTCTACATGCTAGTGTATCATTGATAGATGCACTTTTATGATGGATAGATCCACTTTTATGATGGACAGATGCTGTGTGTGTGTGTGTGTGTGTGTGTGTGTGTGTGTGTGTGTGTGTGTGTGTGTGTGTGTGTGTGGCCTGGTAAACCCTACGTTATTGGGACAAAATGTCCACACAAGGATGGCAATATCCGAAATCCTTGTTCGTGTGGGGACATTTTTTGGTCCCCATGAGGAAATCAGCTTATAAATCATACTAAGTGATGTTGTTTGAAAATGTAAAAATGCAGAATGTTTCCTGTGATGGGTAGGTTTAGGGATAGGGTTAGTGTAAGGGAATAGAATATACAGTCTGTACAGTATAAAAATCATTATGTCTATGGAAAGTCCCCATAAAACATGAAAACACAACGTGTGTGTGTGTGTGTGTGTGTGTGTGTGTGTGTGTGTGTGTGTGTGAGTGTGTGTGTGTGTGTGTGTGAGTGAGTGAGTGAGTGAGTGTGTGCCGTTGGTGAAGAAACTCTTGCCCCGATCTCAGAAGAGCACTCTCTCCTACTGCATATTGTCCCAACTGACATTATCCTGAACGTTGAACAGAAACTCATCCATGGAGAGACATTTAGTCATGATTTGGGTCATTGAATGAATGAGGCATTTATATAGCGCTTTTCATATGTACTACTGTACACCCAAAGCACTTTACAATCATGTCGGGGATCTCTCCTCAACACCACCAGTGTGCAGCATCCACTGGGATGATGCGACGGCAGCCACAGTACAACGGCACCAGTGCGCTCACCACACACACACCAGCTATAGGTGGAGAGGAGAGAGAGATAGAGCTAATTCAGTGGATGGGGATTATTAGGAGGCCATGATTGGCGAGGGCCATTGGAGGGAATGTGGCCAGGACACCGGAGTTACACCCCTACTCTTTACTAGAAGTGCCATGGGATTTTTAATGACCACAGATATATAAGACAAGCTGTTAAGGTATCAGGTATCATCTGTTGTTGGAGACTTCAGCACGTCAAAGATGATGGTCTGTACAAACACTGAGTTCTTCATTTGGTGGGATCTTATAAAAGCTACTATAGATGCCGTCACTGTTTCAGAGGATCCACAGACTCAGTTTCATCCTGCTGGATTGTCAGAAATTGCTATTATCATAACTGTAATGACCAAATATTGCAGCACTAAAATTATGCTTTCAAGAGTGTTTGTTGTAATTTTTTGGCTCACTCTGTGTTAAACAATATTGACTTTGCAAAATTATGCTAGCTAAAACAATTCTAATACAATTCTGAGCAATTTATATGTTTAAACTATATGTTTTGATTTGTTGTAACCTCGACGTTACACTTTATATTTATCTGTTTATATTTCTTATTTCTTTTTTCCTGTGTTTAGAATTTGTCAAAATATTTTGTTGGGGAACCTAAAATGTGTTTTTATTTTAATCAAAATAAATGACAAATATGAATTATTATGACTGATTCTTCCTGACTTCTTTATGTTGCAGCAGTGAAAGTAACCTTTAATGATCAGATCAGGTGAAAATGTCTCTTTAATGTAACATCTGCACTGTGTAACCCTGGGTTACTGGGTTTCTTCAATAAATCTTTGCACATGGTGAACAATTCATTGTCTGTCACATTACATCTGTAAAGTTCAGATACTTCTTTAACAGAATCTGAATTATGCATATGCACATGTTGACAGGCAGGCAGGACCGAATGTAATGATTAGACAAACATATTATGATACTGACTGAGAGTTTAAATTTAGAACACTTTATTTATTGATTGCTATCAGGATATGAAGAGACTTTCATTGAGTATAACAAAAAAAGGTTTGATGCATGGAAAACATTGCCTACCCCAGCTTTAATGCATGCAACAGATCTGAGAGTCACCTGAAAATGTAATAATGCTCTGTGTCACTAGAGAGAGTTTGCTTTTCATGTGGGTGGAGTTAAAACCAGCTCACTAGTAAACGGAAGTGAAAGAAGAAAATACGCCATTCCAAGGTTTAAACCTGTTAACACTGGGTATTTATACGGCTGCATCTTATGAGGTAAGTTGAAAACTTATTCTTCATGTAAAATCAACTGCTATTTTTCTTTTTTGGTCTTCCTTAAAAAAGAATTTCAAATCTGGAACATTATATTTCAACAACTAGCTCAGAAACAAATTGGCTGCAGTTAAAGTGCTTTATGGAAATGAGTTTGATTAAGTAAACTGTTTTGATATGTATTCAGACTTACTCTGATAACATTAGAAACAAAATTATAGACTGAAAGCCATTAGTAATTGTTTTATATATACAGATACTGTGATGTCAATTAAACAAAGAAAGTTAAAAAAAAGTTTAGATACAAATATATGTCTTTACCATGACACTTTGTAATGCTCTGTGATTGCGTTATTGTTTACAGTATCAGAGATAATTATCAATGAATCAATCCCTGCTGATTCTGTTGCACAAACATGAGAAAACAACACGTGCTGGTTGTTGTTGTTACAAAAATAACATTGGTTCTGCTAAACAGTGCAGACGTTAGTTGGGCAACAGGTGCATTCAATTTGTAATTAACCCTCTTATACGATGTTAGGATAAAGACCTGTGTGCCTTCGAGTGTGCTCTCTCTCACTTCTCTCTCATTGTTCTTATTTGTATATATTTTTCTCCTAATATTTTCCTTTACTATTTATTTTAAGTGCCAGAAATGATGCTTATTTGGTTATCACACGTGCGTGTTTTTTCCCCCCTAGACATCGGTTTTCTATTGATTGTTTAATAATTTTTTTCTTGTTTTGTAAATAAATTGGTTTATTGTTGAAGAATTTGTTGTCTGGCTCTTTTAAGTTGTGGTATATGAGCCAGCCGTGGGTGTCAGCAGAGGTACAGGAGTTGTGGCGAGTGGTAATAGCATCTCCGTTCGACGTCAAAAATCAAACGTCAATCAAACGTTCAACGTCAATGACTGACGAATTGGGATCTCTATGGAAGATCCCACAACTACTGACTCCTTCCAGGGATGCAGCCAGACCATCCTGGAGGTTGATGTACGCAACGGTTGATGTCTAGTCTGCGTGGACAAGTACATGCTTTCCCAGCAGCAATTGATATGCCAATGCAGGTTGGCTCCCGTCCAGGGACCCGAAGCTGCTTGCCCGTCGCACACAGCACCCCAGCCTATGCTGGAGACATCTGTTGAGAAAACAACATGCCTGGACACTTATTCTAGGGGAACGCCTGCCGATAGATTTGCAAGGTCTGACCACGGGCCGAAAGTTAGGTGATAGACTGGAGTGATTTTTTTATACAGTTGATCATAAAATTATCTTATCCCAACTAGAATGTTCTGTGGGCATCCAGGGAACTGTCCTCAGCTGGTTTAAATCATATTTAAGTAGAAGTTTCTCTGTTAGACTGGGTAATTTTTCTTCCTCGCCTGCTCAACTCTTCTGTGGAGTGCCGCAGGGTTCAATTCTCGCACCCATTCTGTTTTCCCTGTTTTTACTTCCTCTGGGCTCCATTTTCAGAAAGCATGGTGTATCATTTCATTGCTATGCAGATGATACCCAAATGTATTTACCTCTGAAAAGCAACAAACATGCTGCTCTGAAATCTCTTTTTGCATGCCTAGATGAAGTGAAAATTTGGTTCTCTCAAAATTTCTTATTTCGGAATGAATTTAAAACCGAGGTTATAGTCTTTAATAATTCATTACATTTTTTACATTTATATAGCGCTTTTCTAGGCACTCAAAGCGCTTCACATGGAAGGGGGAATCTCCTCAACCACCACCAATGTGCAGCATCCACCTGGATGATGCGACGGCAGCCATAGTGCGCCAGAACGCTCACAACACACACCAGCACACCACTTTAGCCTCCATGAAAACTGTAAGAGCAGTAACATTGACCTGGATTACTTTACTCTGGTAACACTTTATTTCGATAGTCCACTTTAGACATTCTACTAACTATAAGTAACTTTGCAGCTACATGTCAACTAACTGTCATTAGAGTATTAGTAGACTGTCTGCTTAATATCTGCTAACACTTTATTTTGTTGGTCCCCCAACAGATATTCTACTGACTATAAGTAACTTGGCAACTACAAGTCAACTTGTTCTCCTAACCCGAACCCTAACACCTAACCATAACCTAACAGTCTACTGACAGTCTACTACAGCCTACTAATACTCTAATGACAGTTAGTTGACATGTAGTTGAAAAGTTACTTTTAGTTAGTAGAATGTCTAAAGTGACTATCGAAATAAAGTGTTACCATTACTCCTTTTACTTCATCCTGCATTAAGAACTTAGCTGTTTTCTGGGATCAGAACCCTCAAATTTGAAAAACAAATTAATGCGGTGATTAGTTCTTGTTTTTTCCAGCTACGTCTTCTCTTTAAGATTAAATCCTCTCTCTTTGAGAAAACCTTAGAGATTGCTATCCATGTGCTCATTACATCTCGTTTGGATTATTGCAACTCTCTTTACTAAGGCATGTCCAAGTTGCTCGTCTCCAATTAGAACAAAATGGCGCTGCAAAGTTCCACAAAATGATGTTTTATTAACAAAGTTCGGGAGGAGCACGTTCAGATAATTAAACCTAATTAGACACGAGTGGTGCTTAATCAACGAGTTAAGCGCTGTGTATATATACAGCAAACTTACCTCCGTTCATTGACAGTTTAACAGCATCCCTCCACCACCCCATCTCCTCACTTATAGTCCTAATACTCTTACAACAACGGGGGGAGTACTCTGGGTTCGGGCAAAATTCCGAGCTCGGAGCCCTCCCCCCGGACAGCACGGCAAATACGCATAATCTTTACTCTGTTTAATTGATGTAAGTGTGAACTCGTGAAAGAAAACGTAAATTTGATCACGTTTCTCCAATTTTGAAATCGCTGCATTGGCTACCTGTGCATTTTAGAATTGAGTTTAAAATTCTTCTCTTTGTTTTTAAATCCTTAAATAATCTGGCACCGAGTTATTTGTCCGAGCTACTCTGTCCATACTAATCCCACACGAAATCTGAGGTCTGGTGATAAGAGACTTTTATCTGTCCCCAGATCACAATTACAGCATAGAGGAGATGGAGCCTTTGCTATTGCCGGCCCTAGGCTCTGGAACAGCCTTCCGGTTTACATCAGATCGGCACAGTCTTTAACTGTTTTTAAAACTTCTCTTAAAACCTTTATTTTTTTCATTTTTTTTTCATTGTGAGCTTCTGTCATGAATGTGTTGTTTGCCCTTGTCTCTTTATCTTGTGTTTTGTTCAGCACTTTTGTTGCGTTCGTCCGTGAGATGCACAATCATGGCGACCGAGTCCAACTCCATACCGAGAAAAGAGATTCTCTGCATGGGGGAGAGTTTGCTCTTTTCCCAGTTGACCATAAGCCCCAGACGGCTGAAGTGGGAGAGCACCATGTCCATGTGTTCGCATAACTGATCTCGCGACTGGGCCAGTAAGAGCCAGTCGTTGAAATAGTTGAGGATGCAAACACCACGTTCTCTCAGGGGAACAATGTCCGCCTCCACGACCTTCATAAAGATGCGGGGGACAGGGACAAGCCATAGGCGAGAACTTTTTACTGATATGTTCGACCCTCGAATGCAAAGCGCAGGAACGGTCAAGACATGAAAGTATGCATGCTTTAGGTCGATCACTGCAAACCAATCTTGACTGCAAACGCACGTGAGGATCAAATCACATCACGCTCTTTTGCTAAGGTTTTGGGTCCACTAGGGGAAGGAGCGGTGCCTTCACAGAGCAGCTCACTCTCTCTCTGGGTTGCCCGTCTCAGGGACGCTTTGTCTGCAGCTTGGAGTGCTTGGGGCTGTGGCAGGCTGTGTCCTGGTCTCCCCTATATTTAATGTAGCTGCACTGCAGTGTAATACTTAAAGGAATAGTTAATCCAAAAGTACAATTTCTGTCAGCATTTATTCACCCTCATGGAACAACACATTTCTCTGTTTTTATGTCTCTATGATGTCTATTTAATGTATCTTTTTTCTTTGTTTCCACAAAATTGATCAATTATTCTCTCAACACAATTTTTTTTAGAAAAGAGGACACTCCAAAATAATTCTCTATGAAAAGATAGAAGATGAAGACACAGCCTCTAAAATGAGTTCTTCATTTCCTGAATTGAGTTTCAATTAACCCATGAAGAATCTGCCCTCTGCATTCAGTGATACAACAATGAATTCTGACCCCAGGTAAGACATTTTTGCATTTGAGAGAGGCTTTTATCCAAAGTGACTTAAAGTGCATTTCAGAAACTTGAATGAGTGGCACCTTATGGTACCATCACAGAGAGACACGGCATCACTTTCCAGAACCTCTCATATTCTCTTTGTGTTTACTATTTGTCCCATTCGTTTCATTCCTGAACATATTACAGCACTTCTCATGTCATTGATACTTGTTGTATTCCTTATTAGTAAATCGCTTTAGATAAATCTCTTCTACATGAATAGATGTAAATCAAGGGTGCATTCAAGCTATAGACATGGGCCATGGCTTGAGACAGGATATTGACAAACAAAAGATAAGTTTAAAATGCTGTTTTGTTTGTCTTTTGTCAGTATCAGCAGGAGGCAGAGACAGATAGTAGAGTCTCCAGAACCCAGCGGTGTGTCTGTAAAGAGTAGCATATCCATGAGGCTACCACCTGAATTCAGTGATGGACCGGTGTCCTCGGACTCTACGTTAGTATATTCTTTTACTTGCTAATATACTGTAGTGCATCACAGATAAATAATGATTTCAGAAATTCAGTAAACATACGCAGCATATGCACTGCACAGGGGTAGCAAAGTGTTATCTGGTAATCAATATATTTCTGATGGTCTCCAAGGGTCATTTCAATGGCTGTTATTTTCTTTTTGTTGCTGTTTCTTAATTTCAGCAGGGGAGAGATATATAAGCTGGACAAATCTAAAGCAGTCCTACAGACACACACACTGGAGACTGGAGACCAGCAGAGAGTCAAAGACCAGCACAAAACCAGCATGAAGAACAAGTATGAGAGTTTATTTGACGGAATGAAACTACAGGGGAATCAAACCCTCCTGAACAGAATCTACACGCAGCTCTACATCATAGAAGGAGAGAGAGAAGGAGTGAATGAAGAACATGAGGTTTTACAGATGGAGAAAACAGCCAGAACACAACACTCACAAGACACTCCAATCTACTGCAATGACATCTTTAAAGCTTCACCTGAACCAGGACACCAGGAGGAAGACCAAATCAAGACTGTTCTTACTAAAGGCATCGCTGGAATCGGGAAAACCGTCTCTGTGCAGAAGTTCATTCTGGACTGGGCCGAGGGAAAAGCAAATCAGGATGTAGATTTCATGTTTGTGCTTCCATTTCGAGAGCTGAACTTGATCCGAGATCATCAGTACAGTCTTCATAGACTTCTGCTGGACTTTCATCCTGAACTTCAAGATCTGGACTCAAAGATGTATGAGGAGTGTAAAGTTGTGTTGATCTTTGATGGTCTGGATGAAAGCAGAATCACACTGATGTTTTCAGACACTCAGAAAGTCTCTGATGTGACTGAGACTTCATCAGTGGGTGTGTTGATGTCAAACCTTATGAAAGGAGATCTGCTTCCCTCGGCTCTCATCTGGATCACCTCCAGACCAGCAGCAGCCAATCAGATCCCCTTAAAATACATCAACCGTTTGACAGAGATTCAGGGATTCAATGAGCCTCAGAAGGAGGAATATTTCAGGAAGAGAATCAGTGACGAGCATCAAGCCAGCAGAATCATCTCACACATCAGAAGAGCAAGAAGCCTCCACATCATGTGCCACATACCCGTCTTCTGCTGGATCTCCTCCACTGTGCTTCAGAAGCTCCTGGAAGAAGATCTGAGTGCAGAAATCCCTCAAACTCTGACTGAAATGTACATCCACTTCCTACTGATTCAGATCAACACAAAGAATCAGAAGTATGAAGAGAGAGATCCAGAGAAACCCCTGCAGTCCAACAGAGAAGTGATTGTGAAACTTGCTGAAGTGGCTTTCAAACAGCTGATGAAGGGCAATGTGATGTTCTATGAGGAGGACCTGAGAGAGAGCGGCATAGACGTCACTGACGCCTCAGTGTATTCTGGGATTTGCACTGAGATCTTTAAGGAGGAATCTGTGATTCATCGGAAGAAAGTCTACAGCTTCATTCATCTGAGCATTCAAGAGTTTCTCGCTGCTTTCTATGCATTTTATCATTATGTAATCAAAAACTTTGACACATTGCAGTTCTGTGATGTGATGCGTAATCTGCATAGAGATGCAGTAAATAAAGCTCTTGAGAGTGAGAAGGGACATCTGGATCTGTTCCTGCGGTTCCTGCTGGGCATCTCACTGGAGTCCAATCAGAGACTCTTACAGGATCTACTGACACACACAGAGAACAGCTCAGGGAGCATCAGGAGAACCACACAGTACATTAAAGAGAAGATCAATGATGGATATGAACTCTCCACTGAAAGATCCATCAATCTGTTCCTCTGTCTGCTGGAAGTGAAAGATCAGACTCTGTCCAGAGAGATTCAGGAGTTTGTGAAATCAGACAAACACTCAGAGAAGAAACTCTCTCCTGCTCACTGCTCAACAATCTCCTACATGCTTCAGATGTCAGAGGAGGTGCTGGATGAGCTGGACCTCAAGAAATACAACACATCAGATGAGGGTAGAAGAAGACTGATAGCAGCTGTGAGCAACTGCAAGAAAGCACAGTGAGTGTTTAATCATGTCTTAATAATTTCATTTGAATGTCTTTTACAAGAATGAAGCCGATAATATTGAAATAGTTGAAGAATGAGGTTAAGGATGTGTTTTTCTGTCCTTTAGCTTTGTTGGTTGTAATTTTACTACTCAGTGTTGTAAGAGTTTGTTATCAGCTCTACAATCCTCAAACTCTGTCCTGAGAGAGCTGGATCTGAGTAACAATGACCTGCAGGATTCAGGAGTGAAGCTGCTCTCGGAAGAATTGAAGAATCCAACCTGTCAGCTAGAGATACTGAGGTGTGCAAAATTTGATCTTTGATATCTAAGTTGCTTAGTACTTTGTATAATATAGGTGTAATATTTAGCACTAATAGTGATTCATTTTTAGGGATTCAAGCATAGAAATGAATGAATTTTAGCACACTGATTACGGACATTTCAGCAGTTCCATTTAAGGTTCTGTTTATTATTAAGTTAAAAGCTTTTAGATTGAAGGCTACAAATAATCATATAATCAAACGGTATGTTTTTAGGTTCCCAGAACGCTGTTGTTGTGTAAATGAACGGCCAAAACGCATACAAGTTTTCAGTTTTTATTTGAAATCAGTGTAGTGTAAACAGCCCTTCAGAATGTTAAGGGTGACCTATTATGCCCATTTTCACATGATGTAATATAAATCTCTGATGTCCTCAAAATGTGTCTGTGAAGTTTCAGCTCAATATACTACCCAGATTTTTTATTATAGCTTGTCAAAGTTGCCCCTTTTTGGGTGTGAGGGAAAACGCTCAGTTTTTTTGTGTCCCTTTAAAATGCAAATGAGCTGCTGCTCTGTCCCCGTTCAGAAGACGGCAGATCCTTTACATGTGCTTTGGATACTGGAACAACATAACAGCTGAATTTCTCTAAGGCAAAATGTCAATAATACTCAGTAGCGGAGTGCAGCCTTGCATGTTTGAACTGGAGTCAGAAACAAATAGAGAGACTCAGGAAGAGGCTGCAAATTTTAGACCGTACATGGACGTATCTGAATGGTTAGTGGATACATTTATGTAACTTAGTTGTTGTGGAGTTACGTTGATTCATCTCATAGACTAACCTGTACTGTCATGTTAATCTAGAAAAACTGTTGTATAGGTGCTTGTGTGGGAACTGCATTAGGATGCCCACAGAGCCAGAAAATATATGCTGCATGGAGATAGAGCAGGTATCGTTTAGTTTATGTTTATAATGTCAGACTGCTGCTTCTCATTCAGGGCGGGATCTAATGCTGGGTTTCCGTACTCTTACGTAGGAGTAGGGGGAAATTTGAAACAGCTTGTTCTGAGAGATTAATAATGAATTTGGCCTTTATATAGGATCTGGATTTTTACCATTATAGGCTGGTTGTTTACACACACTCTGGTCACACATCTGTATTCAAACACCTTATAAAAGTGAATTTTGCATAATAACCCCATTAAAGAGGTAATTAAGTGATTAAATAAATTGTGATTGAGCATTAGTGTAAGAGCCATATTTCATATTTCTGAATTTATATTTTCAAATTTGTATTATGTAAATGTGGTATAATAATTATTTTTGCTAATTAGTCATTTACTGTTTAGAACATATTTCTTTGGTTTATATTTGTTCTTGCTACATGTTCAGTGACATCATTTTGTAGCGCACGTAAAAAGTAATTGACGAATGACTCTGGAACGGGAACAGGCTCAGACTCAGGAACAGGTGGCCTGGCGTCGGCCATCTTGGCCGGAGGCGAACTCTCTGGCGTGGCGGCGGCCATCTCGGCCGGAGACAAAGGGCCTTTCTCAATCTGTGTTCTTGTCTGTACTTGTGTCCTTGTGTTCTTGTGAAACGTCATCTTTTGTGGCCCAAGTACTGTCCCAATACACAACTTTGCATTTTGGCAAGAACAGTTAAAAATCCCGGATGTGTTCTTGACACGCCCATTTTACAGAGGATGCATCGGCTGGTAACTTGTGTGAACTTGACGGCAGAAATATCCCAGCATTCAATTCGGCATTCGAGGAAGGAGAGGCAGGTCAATACAGTATTTTGTTTTTCTACAATTACGTACACTATTTCATCACTAAATTCACTTCTGAGAACATTTGATGCGAGAAATCAACTGTGTAGATTTCAAATATTGGCATTTTACGAAAATGTATGGCTAATCGAAAATGTGCTCAAACGTTTTCGGAAGTGAGAATCTCCATAAGCGCCTGCGGGTGTAACGTTAGCTATCGAGCCAACCGGCCAGTTTGCTCACAGACTCGTTTTTCCCCACAGTCAAGAGACCATTGCAGCCTGGCTGTTATCGTCAACAATTCTCGTTATGTTTGGGTACTGCAGACGGTGTCTGTGCGGGGGAATTATTGCGCAATACCAGCAAGAACACATCGTCTCAAACTGTCAGCAGCGTTCTGTGTGCTCGTCACCTTGTGAGTTTATTCTTCCAAGAACAACTAGCAAGAGCGTTCTCCCCAAGAACACAAGTCCGTTCTTTGCATTCTTGGTTTTGAGAAACACCCAAACTCTCAGGCGTGGCAGCGGCCATCTTGGCCAGAGATGAACTCTCAGGCGTGGCGCTGGCCATCTTGGCCTGAGGCGAACTCTCTGGCGTGGCAGCGGCCATCTTGGCCGGAGACAAACTCTCAGGCGTGGCGGCAGCCATCTTGGCTTGAAACAAACTCTCAGGGGTGGCAGCCAACTTGGGCAAGAGCTCGTGGGCTGGAGCTGATGTGTGTGCCGCCCACACACACTCAAACTAGCTGTGGCGGCTATCATGAGCGCTATATCACCCTGAACTGACTCAGGTGCAGCGACCATCTTGTCCGAAGACACAGGCATGACGTGAACAGTCTCTGGCTCGGGAGGCATGACATGAACAGCCTCTGGCTTGGCAGGACTAACGTGAAGAAACTAAGGCTCGGCAGGACTGACGTGACTTGACTTTTTAACATTAGTTCTTCTCTGGCTGCTTTAACTATGGTTATAAGATTCATTTGTTATGGCAAAACAGATGATGTTGGCTAATTATAAGATTTAATCATCTTATAGTAACCTGACTCACTGATCAACAGTCTAATCTCTGATTATATTGGTGGTGTGTTATTTATATCACATTATAATTTTTATTAATTAAAAACATATTTTTATTTTACTTTATTATTTTTTATGAGAAATATTGCATCAGGTGGACACACACAGACATCGGGCCCTATTTTAACGATCTAAACGCATGGTCTAAAGCGCACGGCACGTGCACTTAGGGCGTGCCCAAATCTATGTTTGCTAGTTTAACGATGGGTAAATTGTTCGGCGGACCCACCGCATGGTCTAAAAGGGTCATCCCTATTCTCTTAATAAGTAATGAGTGTGTTTTGGGAATAAAGTGCAATAAACCAATCAGAGTCCCATTCCCTTTAAAAGCCAGTTGTGTTCGCGCCATGGCGGATTCGCTATTTACATGGCAGTCAATGGCGCAGTCTATTTCAGTTGCCTCAAAATGCGCCTGCATTGTGCCTGAACTCACCTCATTTTCAGACCACCACATCCAAGGGTGCACAAATGGGTGCAAATGTGGCGCAACGTGAAAATGATAACTGTGTCAGATTGAAACTAGCAGAAAACACTTGCGTCGCGCCTGGCGCTGCATTGAGCCGCATGTTTGATTAAATTGGTCTTTTCTCTGAACAGCAATTTGATATAATTGAGCGACTGACTTTTGCTTAGATCCTATAATTTTTCCTAATGAAGCCCATGAAGAATCAGCATATGAATCTCAATAAGGATGACATGCTGCAATGCATGCTGGGAGCCATCATAGAATAAATGCAGCATGTCACCGTTATTGAGATTCAAATGTTGATTCTTGATGTCTGTGTGTGTCTACATTTTCATTATGCACAATGCATTTAAAAGTAAAAATTCATAATATCTGACATGTAGTAAAACAGTGATGATAGTGAAAAATGTAATTCTATTAAATCGCAATAAGCCACTTTCTTTTGGTGATGAGATTTGTGAATCAGTTCACTTTATAATGATGAAACATTAATCAGCATCAATAAATAACCAACATCATCTGGTCATTTGTGTTTTTGCCTTCCTTTGTAGTCGTTATAGTCAGTTGTAGTTCTTGTGTTTCTCTTTCCTTCAGTGATTCTGCTTGTTAACAGCAGGTGTTCATCACTAATGCTCAAACATCACTTAATTAGTTACTAAACTATCTCATTAACTTCAACACTTCTTCAGTTTTATTTGAACACTCTTTAGTGTGGACACATAAGAACACTGAGCAGTGTTAATTTAGTACTGGGGAATTTACTGTGTAAAGAGAAAAATTCTGAAACATAGATAAATACAATTTTTGTAATTAGGGCATTTTTGTAGGTTTAGAAACATTTATAGGTATAAATGTGTAGTTTTCCTTACTTAGACTGTTTTGTGTGTTTTAGGTTGTCAGGCTGTATGGTGACAGAGGAAGGCTGTGGTTTTGTGTCTTCAGCTCTGAGTTCAAACCCCTCACACCTGAGAGAGCTGGATCTGAGCTACAATCACCCAGGACAATCAGGAGTTCAGCTACTCAACGACAAACTCAATGATACAAACTGCTCACTGAAGATACTCAGGTATGTTTAGCATTAATGACTGTATTTATTAATAAATACAGTCTAGCATTAATTAATGTCTGTATTTGATTGAGGTCACCTAAGTCGGGCCATACACTTTAAGATTTTAAGCCAGATTTAGGGCCCGATTTGCAACCCCAACGTTCTGGGGAGTGTGGCACGATTCAAGGCTTCTTTTTCTTTGTCCAAACAATCCTCGATTGTGTGGCGTCATTATGATTTTTTTACTGCCCCAGATCGCATTGGAGCCTGCACAAACCCAAATCGTAAATATTAAACATGTTTGACATTTACTACTCTTGATCAGGCTGCCTCTGACGTGATACCCATGATTAGCCAATGAGAATGAGTAACCTTCACCGACTGGATGTTGCCACAGAAGTGGAGTATTGAGAAAGAAGATTACCCATATTTTGTTTTTTACTTTGTTTTCTACCCGTAAGACAAAACTAATTTTTGATTTTGTTTGAGCTTCAGCAAGAAACAGTGAGGTTCATTCTCGTGTTACGCAGCACGTTTGAGCTTCAGCAAGAACCAATGAGGTTCATTCTCGTGTTACGCAGCACGTTTGAGCTTCAGCAAGAACCAATGAGGTTCATTCTCGTGTTACGCAGCACGTTTGAGCTTCAGCAAGAGCCAATGAGGTTCATTCTTGTGTTACGCAGCACGTTTGAGCTTCGGCAAGAACCAATGAGGTTCATTCTCGTGTTACGCAGCATGTTTGAGTTTCAGCAAGAACCAATGAGGTTCATTCTCGTGTTACGCAGCACGTTTGAGCTTCAGCAAGAACCAATGAGGTTCATTCTCGTGTTACGCAGCACGTTTGAGCTTCAGCAAGAGCCAATGAGGTTCATTCTCGTGTTACGCAGCACGTTTGAGCTTCAGCAAGAGCCAATGAGGTTCATTCTCGTGTTACGCAGCACGTTTGAGCTTCAGCAAGAGCCAATGAGGTTCATTCTCGTGTTACGCAGCACGTTTGAGCTTCAGCAAGAGCCAATGAGGTTCATTCTCGTGTTACGCAGCACGTTTGAGCTTCAGCAAGAGCCAATGAGGTTCATTCTCGTGTTACGCAGCACGTTTGAGCTTCAGCAAGAACCAATGAGGTTCATTCTCGTGTTACGCAGCACGTTTGAGCTTCAGCAAGAACCAATGAGGTTCATTCTCGTGTTACGCAGCACGTTTGAGCTTCAGCAAGAGCCAATGAGGTTCATTCTCGTGTTACGCAGCACGTTTGAGCTTCAGCAAGAACCAATGAGGTTCATTCTCGTGTTACGCAGCACGTTTGAGCTTCAGCAAGAACCAATGAGGTTCATTCTCGTGTTACGCAGCACGTTTGAGCTTCAGCAAGAACCAATGAGGTTCATTCTCGTGTTACGCAGCACGTTTGAGCTTCAGCAAGAACCAATGAGGTTCATTCTCGTGTTACGCAGCACGTTTGAGCTTCAGCAAGAGCCAATGAGGTTCATTCTCGTGTTACGCAGCACGTTTGAGCTTCAGCAAGAACCAATGAGGTTCATTCTCGTGTTACGCAGCACGTTTGAGTTTCAGCAAGAACCAATGAGGTTCATTCTCGTGTTACGCAGCACGTTTGAGCTTCAGCAAGAATCAATGAGGTTCATTCTCGTGTTACGCAGCACGTTTGAGCTTCAGCAAGAACCAATGAGGTTCATTCTCGTGTTACGCAGCACGTTTGAGTTTCAGCAAGAACCAATGAGGTTCATTCTCGTGTTACGCAGCACGTTTGAGCTTCAGCAAGAACCAATGAGGTTCATTCTCGTGTTACGCAGCACGTTTGAGCTTCAGCAAGAACCAATGAGGTTCATTCTCGTGTTACGCAGCACGTTTGAGTTTCAGCAAGAACCAATGAAGTTCATTCTCGTGTTACGCAGCACGTTTGAGTTTCAGCAAGAACCAATGAGGTTCATTCTCGTGTTAAGCAGCACGTTTCAGCTTCAGCAAGAACCAATGAGGTTCATTCTCGTGTTACGCAGCACGTTTCAGCTTCAGCAAGAACCAATGAGGTTCATTCTCGTGTTACGCAGCACGTTTGAGCTTCAGCAAGAACCAATGAGGTTCATTCTCGTGTTACGCAGCACGTTTGAGCTTCTCCAAGAACCAATGAGGTTCATTCTCGTGTTACGCAGCACGTTTGAGCTTCTCCAAGAACCAATGAGGTTCATTCTCGTGTTACGCAGCACGTTTGAGCTTCAGCAAGAACCAATGAGGTTCATTCTCGTGTTACGCAGCACGTTTGAGCTTCCACAAGAACCAATGAGGTTCATTCTCATGTTACGCAGCACGTTTGAGCTTCAGCAAGAACCAATGAGGTTCATTCTCGTGTTACGCAGCACGTTTGAGTTTCAGCAAGAACCAATGAGGTTCATTCTCGTGTTACGCAGCACGTTTGAGCTTCAGCAAGAACCAATGAGGTTCATTCTCATGTTACGCAGCACGTTTGAGTTTCAGCAAGAACCAATGAGGTTCATTCTCGTGTTACGCAGCACGTTTGAGCTTCAGCAAGAACCAATGAGGTTCATTCTCGTGTTACGCAGCACGTTTGAGCTTCCACAAGAACCAATGAGGTTCATTCTCATGTTACGCAGCACGTTTGAGCTTCAGCAAGAACCAATGAGGTTCATTCTCGTGTTACGCAGCACGTTTGAGCTTCAGCAAGAACCAATGAGGTTCATTCTCATGTTACGCAGCACGTTTGAGTTTCAGCAAGAACCAATGAGGTTCATTCTCGTGTTACGCAGCACGTTTGAGCTTCAGCAAGAACCAATGAGGTTCATTCTCATGTTACGCAGCACGTTTGAGTTTCAGCAAGAACCAATGAGGTTCATTCTCGTGTTACGCAGCACGTTTGAGTTTCAGCAAGAACCAATGAGGTTCATTCTCGTGTTACGCAGCACGTTTGAGCTTCAGCAAGAGCCAATGAGGTTCATTCTCGTGTTACGCAGCACGTTTGAGTTTCAGCAAGAACCAATGAGGTTCATTCTCGTGTTACGCAGCACGTTTGAGCTTCTGCAAGAACCAATGAGGTTCATTCTCGTGTTACGCAGCACGTTTGAGTTTCAGCAAGAACCAATGAGGTTCATTCTCGTGTTACACAGCACGTTTGAGTTTCAGCAAGAGCCAATGAGGTTCATTCTCGTGTTACGCAGCACGTTTGAGCTTCAGCAAGAACCAATGAGGTTCATTCTCATGTTACACAGCACGTTTGAGTTTCAGCAAGAACCAGTGAGGTTCATTCTCGTGTTACGCAGCACGTTTGAGCTTCAGCAAGAACCAATGAGGTTCATTCTCATGTTACGCAGCACGTTTGAGTTTCAGCAAGAACCAATGAGGTTCATTCTCGTGTTACGCAGCACGTTTGAGTTTCAGCAAGAACCAATGAGGTTCATTCTCGTGTTACGCAGCACGTTTGAGTTTCAGCAAGAACCAATGAGGTTCATTCTCGTGTTACGCAGCACGTTTGAGCTTCTGCAAGAGCCAATGAGGTTCATTCTCGTGTTACGCAGCACGTTTGAGTTTCAGCAAGAACCAATGAGGTTCATTCTCGTGTTACGCAGCACGTTTGAGCTTCTGCAAGAGCCAATGAGGTTCATTCTCGTGTTACGCAGCACGTTTGAGCTTCAGCAAGAACCAATGAGGTTCATTCTCGTGTTACGCAGCACGTTTGAGTTTCAGCAAGAACCAATGAGGTTCATTCTCGTGTTACGCAGCACGTTTGAGCTTCTGCAAGAGCCAATGAGGTTCATTCTCGTGTTACGCAGCACGTTTGAGTTTCAGCAAGAACCAATGAGGTTCATTCTCGTGTTACGCAGCACGTTTGAGCTTCAGCGAGAACCAATGAGGATCATTCTCGTGTTACGCAGCACGTTTGAGCTTCTGCAAGAGCCAATGAGGTTCATTCTCGTGTTACGCAGCACGTTTGAGTTTCAGCAAGAACCAATGAGGTTCATTCTCGTGTTACGCAGCACGTTTGAGTTTCAGCAAGAACCAATGAGGTTCATTCTCGTGTTACGCAGCACGTTTGAGCTTCAGCAAGAGCCAATGAGGTTCATTCTCGTGTTACGCAGCACGTTTGAGTTTCAGCAAGAACCAATGAGGTTCATTCTCGTGTTACGCAGCACGTTTGAGTTTCAGCAAGAACCAATGAGGTTCATTCTCGTGTTACGCAGCACGTTTGAGCTTCCACAAGAGCCAATGAGGTTCATTCTAGAGTTACGCAGCACGTTTGAGTTTCAGCAAGAACCAATGAGGTTCATTCTAGAGTTACGCAGCACGTTTGAGTTTCAGCAAGAAACAATGAGGTTCATTCTCGTGTTAAGCAGCACGTTTGAGTTTCAGCAAGAACCAATGAGGTTCATTCTCGTGTTACGCAGCACGTTTGAGTTTCAGCAAGAACCAATGAGATTCATTCTCGTGTTACGCAGCACGTTTGAGCTTCAGCAAGAGCCAATGAGGTTCATTCTCGTGTTACGCAGCACGTTTGAGCTTCTGCGAGAGCCAATGAGGTTCATTCTCGTGTTACGCAGCACGTTTGAGCTTCTGCGAGAACCAATGAGGTTCATTCTCGTGTTACGCAGCACGTTTGAGCTTCCACAAGAGCCAATGAGGTTCATTCTCGTGTTACGCAGCACGTTTGAGCTTCAGCAAGAGCCAATGAGGTTCATTCTCGTGTTACGCAGCACGTTTGAGCTTCAGCAAGAGCCAATGAGGTTCATTCTCGTGTTACGCAGCACGTTTGAGCTTCTGCAAGAACCAATGAGGTTCATTCTCGTGTTACGCAGCACGTTTGAGCTTCTGCAAGAGCCAATGAGGTTCATTCTCGTGTTACGCAGCACGTTTGAGCTTCAGCAAGAACCAATGAGGTTCATTCTCGTGTTACGCAGCACGTTTGAGCTTCAGCAAGAACCAATGAGGTTCATTCTCGTGTTACGCAGCACGTTTGAGCTTCAGCAAGAACCAATGAGGTTCATTCTCATGTTACGCAG